TCAGCCCCAAATCGGTTCTCCAAACTGTGCTTAACTGCTTACATGCTTAGAAGTAAACCACGTTTAGCTGCCTTTAACGCTTTTCCATCTTTATTTTTATGCATTAAGATCAATTTCATGAACTTTCCTAGGTAAGATGATTGCCATCGGCAGGAAGAATGTAGTAAATTAATTATAGATGTGTGTTAAATTACTTTCATTACCACTCTGAGTTCTGGGAGGGAGTTGTGTGAGCAGGATGACTGATGAAACAGTGTTTTTACATATTCCCCCGGTAATGGATATTTTTACTTGGCTGCCAGTGTTGTTGCTCAGCTCAGAGAAGCTGGAATTACACATTTCAGAAAATGGAGGTTCACTCTAAAATTGATCTCCAAGGATTGCCAGAAAACTGTGGCTGAGACAGACTGGCTGGAACACAAGCTGTCTGTTCAGGGCCTTGGGATGAACAAAGGTGAACTGAGGGAGGATTCATCCTCTTTACATCAGACACACCCAAATCCAAGGGAGTCACTTGAATTTGTGGTGCTGTTCCTACACACTGGCAAAGGAGTAACAGCCAAAACAAAGCTCAACAGGAGTGGAAAGTTATTTTCCATATTCACCTTATAATAACCTTGGTGCAGGGTATTTTCTAGGGATTAATGGCCAGGCCAGTTTAATAGCTCTCTGCTGAACTTCAGGCTATCAACTTTTCACAGTGTATCATTAATCCCTGGAAAATATCTAGGTTCATAGCAGATATGAGTGAAAAATAATACACATGTGAAGGTAAGTGTAGTGTTATATATACTGGGATTGGTGAAGGTAAGTGTTTAATCATGTCCTGGCCCTAATTGCTAACTCCAGATGCACTTCAGAATACAAGTAAATGAGGTACAGCTTAGTTACACTGTAATTACAAAGAAGCTTCGTTGCACTTCTATTTATATGGTGTATAATTAGTACCTTCCCTGGCTGAAAGCTGAAATCATAATATCATTGTTCCTTGTGTTTCATATTAAAATGTGCTACAGAGTATGGTATTTTGAAGGATTTCTGTAACAGGTAAGTCAGAGGACAAATACATACTCAGTAAGTTAATTCAATTTATTTCTAGCCACTGCACTCACAATCTTTTTTTACTAAAAAACCAAAAAGTCTAAAGAAATAAGAACTACAAATCAACACACATCATGCTGATCGTGTCCAAGGTCATGAGCTGTGAACAAAGCTTATTACATGGTTTGTCCTGCCTGGAAGAGTGGAAAGTGGATCCCAGACATGGAGAGCAACGTGTGTTCCCTCCCCAGTCCCTGGCTGGGGTCTGGGGGTGGTGCTGAAAAGAGCTCCCTTCTCACTTCCCTTTGCCACCTCTGGGATCAAAGATGCACAGTCAAACTCAGTCTTTTAACACATCAATCCAGACATCACAGAGGAATGCAGCCCCTGCATCCCAGCCTTCAGCAGGTGGATTTTCCCTTCCAGCTGTCAGAGCAGTGCTGCATGTGCCTGTAGGCATGTGCACACAAGGTAGGGATATCTCAGAAGTCTGAAGCACATCACAGAGATTTCCCTGCCCACGCTGCCTCTGCAGGAGCAGAGCTGTGGAGGTTTCCATAAGACTTGCAGAAGTGCCAAAAAAAGCCTCCACAGTCTGCTGGGAGAATAATTAGAGTTGGCAAGTTTGCTCAATAAGCACTTCTTATACATAGTATTAATGGGTGATAGGTAGAGTCTGTGGTTTTTTCACTTAATAATGCATGGAACCTCCTAGATATTCTAAGGATCTCTCCCTGGAGTTGTGCTTTGTGATCACAGGCACAACTAATGGTTGGGACTGATTACATACTGATTAAAACTACCTAAGAATCTCATCTGTCCAGGAAGGAAGTGCCAGGCTCTGCAGCAGGAGGCAAGTGCTTGTCCCTATTTCATTTCAATCATACCCATTCATCTGAAAGACTCTGCTTTGCACATCAAACAGGATCCAGGACTCATAAGGAATCTGATGTGTCAGAATTAGACCTTGAAGCTGACATCTTTGGTGAATTAATATCTTCCCCTTCTTGGAAGCCAATGGATCTGACCAGGAAAGTGTAGAAGCACTTCCTTGTTTGGTGCCTGTCCCAAAGAACAGTGTTCCCATGGGAGGTGGGAGTTTCTTCATGTGACACATTTTGTTGGGATACCTTTGAACCCAGCAGAAAGAAGTCAAAAAAACTCTGGAGAGCCTGTGGGAAGCCTGTGTTTCCCTGTGTCTCTCTTCCCATGGATTTAGTCTGACATGAAAAATGATAAATTCATGGGCTGGGGAGCTGGACGATGGGCTGGACCATTCAGAGATGATGATGCTGCGAGGGTGGGCAGCACCAGCTGAGGTGTTTACACCTTTAGACTGTCAGATACTTTGTCTGAAGTAGATCCACACTTTGGCTCCTAAGGGCAAAGTGTAGGACTCTGTCCTGTGTGTGCATTGAGGGACATCCCTGTCCTTTCCAGCATAAGATACATTGGCAATGGCTCTATTTCCTTCTTATCCTTCCTAAAATCTTCTGGGCTTGTATGCCTTGATAGGTGAGACATAAAACAGACCTGTGTTCACCAAAAGGCTTTGAACTCTACACTGGCCTGCTGGGATTGCCTCTAGCCTCTGCCCCAGCATGGGCTGGGAAACACAAACTCAGCCACCTGCAGGCTTCTGATGGGACATTAACAGGCCTTTGCACAAATGTCATCACAGGGTCACACCTTGAGCAGCCAGGGCTCTGCAGGACAAAGGCTGTACAGTGTATAAAAGGGAATTTTGTGATGCAGGGTCTTGACCACAGTGACACACAACACCCCATTTACCCATGGATGTTCGTATTTCTGGTGTCAGGATGTGAATGAGCCTCTTTCCAAATCCAAACTAAAGCACAGCAATACTTTAGTGAGTGTCAGAGCAGACAGCAAATCAAATCTGTGTTTCTGAACTGTGCTGCCATCGTGGGAAGCTTTGCTGACAGTTATGAATGTCACTCATCAAAACGCCCTCACACAGTTCTGATAAGTCTAAATAATACTATTTTATAGACAATGTCACTGTCACTGCAGAGGGCACGAAAGCCATCTTTTAAATTCATTCCAGATGTAATCTGAATGCACCTGTACTGTCTACCAGGCGTTTTCTGAACACAGCCAAATAAATCTGATGTCAGCTGCCATGGGAACTGTCCTTCTGAATAATCTCCTGTGTCATCTAAAATGATTGCATATTTCAAACATAGAGGTTGACACTCCATTTGTTTGTTTGTTTGCTTACTAATTTTTAACATAGTTACAATCACGTTGCCTCTGTTCATTTGTGGTTCCAGACTTCTCAAGTCTCCTTTTGTGTGTTTTGTACTTTCTGGGCATGGTTCATTATTTCTGTTTAAATGATGTTTATGTGTGGGGCAAAGCAGAACCTGGCCCAAGATGTGATGGCAGAAAATGTCCCCTTCTAGTAGCATGGCACTCCATCATGTGGCACAGTCACTGCTCCAACATTCTTTTAAAAAGGGAGGAAGCTGTACAAATTTTGCCACACCAAAGCAGTGAAATATTTGAATTCTACCTCCATGCCTTTGAATTTGGAAAGCTAAATATAGAGAGGGTAGAAGTGAGGGGAACTGTAAACAAAAAAATGAGTATATGGGATAAATCTAAATCAAATCTGTGGTACTTGTCACACCTCCCCATCAAGCACCACTTTTCTTCTTTTGTGGTTGTTGGGAATGATGGGTCAGCATCCAAATGAGACTCTTGATGAAGTTTGAGCAGCCCTGGAAACAATGGGCAATTGCTTCTAATAAGGTCACAAGCTAATGAAATATGAAAAAAAAGGTCTCATAACTGCACTCCAAAGAAAGTGTTTTCAATCATTCCTGCACATCTGATATCCCAAATATTCCCCATGTGCCTAGCACGCATATTTATGGCACAACACTCACACCTCTTGACTTGCTTACACAGGTGCTTTCCAACCTAAATAAATATGAATATTGTGTTCAATTTGGCACATAAATCACTAAATTAGATGCACAGGCAGCTTCTACTCCGACACAAGAGGCTTTTGTAATGGTTATTTCATATTGCACTCGTCATTTTTAATAACTGAAAACGTTCTTAGGAAAGTTTGAGAGCTTTCCAAGAAAGGATTACAGCTTGAGTCTGCAAGGTGTTGAATTAGTAGGATTTGAGTCAAGGAAGCATTTCTAGTGCTTATAAGTACAGAGTTATTTGGCATTGCTTTGCTGCAGTGATTAGTGGGATGTCATGATCAGAGGTCTGGGTGTAGAGTGGCAGCAGGAGCAGGTAAAAGAGTCAGACCACCCATCACTGAAAACCAGCCATAATCACCAAAATTGTCTTAAAATAATCTGGCTTCCTACCTGACAGAAACAGTGCCATAATCTTAAAAGGCATTGTAAGTTTCTTTGACAGTAGGTTAAATGAAGTAGCTGCCTCATGTTAGAAGAATTCCAAAGCCTTAAAGACCTACTTATCCAATGAAACATTTTTTACCCTCGGGGCAGTTTAACAAAGGCGTCCTTTCCAGAGGATTTTCACAGATAGCTGAGCAGAACGCCTTTTTATTAAAGATTTTATCTGTATTAACAAAGTTTTATGACCTAAAAAGCTTGCTAGGGGTTTCTGAGAGTTGAGGAGCCTGACTATCAGCTCCTGCTGTAAGGACAGCTGGGGATCTGGGTCATTGCACTGAGGATTAATTGATACAACCTGGTGGAAAGGTATGAAAATACCTTGTCAGGTCATTCTGCACTGCTTTCAGTCCCCTGGGCCCACACAACCAGAGCTGTGAGTCAGGCTGGCCCAGACCACCAAAGATGGCAAAGGAATCCAAATCAACAAGAACTTGATGTTGTGACCAAGAGTTGTGTGACCATGTGCACAAAGCCAGGACTGGAAACCCTCTGAGAATAAATTCCTTACTGGATCAAAAGGCTGCATTACACAAACTGGAAAATGCAAACTCATTTGATTTTTTTAAAATAGTTTTATTAAGTATATGACAGAAGGCACATTGGAAAATATTCACCACCTTCTATTAATGCCTTTTTTAATGAAATATCATAGATATATTTGACAGAAATAAAGGGCATGAAAAACAAGCACTGAAGGCCTAATTATTTCATATAGATTTTGTTTTTTTCAGAAAAATACAAGTTATAACACAAGGCTAAAATTTATGTCCTACTGAAGTCAAAGACCACTATTCTTCAAAGAAACAAAAGAATTCACAGAAAAGGTTTTGTACAAGAAGATATGAATGATCTAATTTTAAGAGTACAGTGTATTTATTAAAGTGTTTTTACAAGCCTTCCTTCATATTGTGTACACAAGTGACAAGAAAATACAGTTCTTCAAAGACAAAACCATGAAAAAATATGATCTGATCACATATGGATAGTGTTGAAGTAAAGAAAAAGGAGAACTAACCTTTGGACTAGTTTTAGCTTTGGATTTGAGTGATCTGCCTGAAAAGTCCTTGTTTTTCATCCAATCAAATCCATGAAATTCCACACAAGTCTGATGATTCAACTGCATGACACCATGCTCAGCATCCATGGCTCTTGGGCAGCAGCTGCTTGGCATAAAATACATCAGAGTGCAGATCTTCCCAGATCAAAATTGCCACCACAGGATGGTAAAGACTCTAAGAGGTCTCAGCTCCACCTCTGCATCTCCAGCCTGGGCAAATTTTACTCAATGCAGCAGGGTGGCACGAGGCCAGCAGTGCCAGCAGCAGGGAGCTGCCCACTCCAGCCCAAACAAGGGGGAGGCAGCTGGGTTTGGAGTCCCTCCAGGATGGATGCAGCTGAAACCAGGTTACAAAAAACACAGCACAAGGTCCCAGCTGTGAGTCAAGTGCTCAAAACCACTAATGCTGAGTGGAGTGAGGCCCACAGTGAGCAGAGTGCACTGCAGAGAGAGCTGTGCACTGCTACCCCTTGTATTCCCTGTTTTCTAGCAAGGCAATACCTGTGCTCAGCAGGGCTTTTAGGTAACTAACTCAAGGCAGAGGGTTCCATTTCAGCTCTGGCACACCTAAGTTTTATTCATTGATGCAATGATGCCCAAAGCTCCTCTGTGCTTCTGTTGTTCATTTGTACAATTAATTAATGGTGGCAACACTTACTGTCTCACCAGGGTGTTGTAAAGAAAAAGCTTACTAGAAATGGTAAGGCATGCAGAAATTGGATAATAAGGACTTTGTAACCCACTAGGAAAACATTTAATTTGCACTGCTTGAATGTAGGACAAGGGTTAAGTTTAAGATTAAATTTCTGCCCTGCCCAGATCAAAGCACCTGAAGAAGGACTCCTGTCTCATGTCAGCTTCATCCTGGCCTCCTGCAAAACATAACCTTTCCCTTTTCTCTGGGAAATGAGGAATCTAAAGGAAAATCTTGCAGGACCTTTGGTAAGCAAGTGGATACTGCAGTGTCCCAGCATTTTATAAGAATCAGGACCTGTTTCTGTTCTAGTCTTCTCCTACAACAAAGAAGAGGATGCACATGGCAGAGAATAGAGTAAAATTTTAAATCCTAGTATGATTTCACAGCTGGTGCTCACCTGAGCAACCCAGAAGTCATTTCCCATCCTGCCCACAAGAACAGGTATAAACTTCATTTGTGCCATTCATTTCCTTCTTTACTCCTGCTCCCTTCTCTCTCAAAGGTTCTAGCTCAGGCCCATCCTGTGTGGAGTCTTTGTTCCAGTTTTTTTTGTCCTCATTTTCTGTCCTTACAGATTTAGGCTCCTCTTCTTTTGTCTTTCTTTCCTTCTCCTCCTTGGCAAGCATACGATAATTATAATAATTCATGATGAACAGAAAGGTTCCTGCCAGGACCATCACAGATCCACATTTAATGAACATATATTTATAGTCCCCAAAGGTATCAATAAGAATTCCTGTAAAAAAAAATAAAAAAAAAAGGAAATTTAGAGATTAAGGCAAGGGTATTGTGTTTTCAGATCCTGTATATCAAGGAGCACCTTTGTGGCTTTAGGATGAAACATTCTCTGAACTTCTGGTCTCTTCCACAAACACCCAAAGCCTGCAAATCCTGAACAGGTGTTGCACTACACAGCCTGTGGGTAGCTGACATTGGTACAGGTAATGCTCTGATAATTTGCACAATTCAGTAGAAGGGGATAGAACCTACACTGCAAAGTCTGGACTTTTCCAGCACACCTATTTTTTCCATGCTAAACTACTCCTCTGGTCACAGAGCCTGCACAGAGCCTGCAGGCAGCCTTTCCACTGACTCCAATGATCAGCGGCAAGGATGCCCATTTGGCTTGGCAGTCAAAAAGCAGCATCTTTTGGGAAGACTTTCATGAGAAGGCACCTTCCCACTGTGTCTCATCTCAGGCTCTTGGCATAGACCCTGTGATTTATTCCACCACGGGTCACCCACCAGCATTAGAGGGCACTCAGCTTTTGGTCACAGCTGCCCTTTCTGCAGTTACACTCGTGATCTAAAGAGGAAAGGGCACAGCGTGAAACTGGAAAACATTAGTTCCAGGGAGAGCAAAGATGATGCTGTCAATGTCAGATAATTTCAATGCCAAGACAAATGTGACAGGTTCCTCTCAAAGGTTAATGCCTCTGCTACAGAGTTACAGAGTAATTGAAGGGAGATGGCTTAATTGAAATGTCACCGTTCTCCATTATGTCAAAATGTAATGCAAATCTTATTGGGATTATGATCCTGAGCATTAATTCTCATTTACTGGGCAACACAGACCATTCTTAACATCCCAAATCCTAATAAAGTAAGACCCACTCCTAACCTGGCCTTCACAGTACAGACAATCTTCCCTGAAACTGCCCCATCATCCATCTCTGACGTTTTGGAGTATGTTCTCCTCAAAAGGAGGGACCTTTAATTACTTCCCGATTGACCCTTAATGTTGAAAAGCTGCTGATTAATTATCCCACTGCATTGCACTAACAGGGGTTTTTAATGGTCACCAAATAGATTTCCTGATCACAAAAATAATAATTTTTAACTGGTTTTGGTCAGTATTTTTTCCTGTATCATCCCTAGCTGACTTGGTACACCATTTTCAATGCACTGTGTTTTTCATGCTACTGGTGAAACATCAACCAAATGCTAATTGCAACAATTTTTCCTTTTCTGCTCATCAGGATGACCTAGAGGTCTCCTAAATAGGTTTCAATGAGAGTTTTAATGAGTAGAGTATTGGAAAATTCAACAGTAGGATAGTCTTGCCTCTTCTCCTTTGAGAATAAGATAAAGTCATAAAACACACTGGGAACAATTTACTTAGTTCATTAAAGCAGAACCCTGCAGTAGGTTATTAAAATGCCAAAGAACCAATAAATTTGCTGCTTATTAAAATGGTGGGAAAAACCCTAGAAAACTAATATTACTGATTATTACACAGAACTGTTTTAGCCTCATTAGCAGTCTCTAGTCATTAACTTAATCTCCCACACAGAAAATTGTATCATTCAGAAAACGGACATTTTAAAATTGTATTTTCTTTTGTTTGTCATTAATTAAATAATGAATCTCTAAGCAAGAGGATACAGCTGCTTCTGTCACACTCCCTTATTTAACTTTAGATGACTGAAAGTCCTCCTGGAAACTCAGTATTGTCCACATGGGCAATACTTTGTTGGCTCTGCCTTTTGATATTTCAAACCATGGTATCCAAAATAAACCTTTTTTTAAAATTCTTTTTAGAACAGACTTAAATCCTTCAGCTGCATTAAGATGACTGAAATTCTTTAGTCAGAGCCTTGGAGACAAACTAGTCAGAGCCTTGGAGACAAACAGCAAGGTTTGAGTCAACAAGAGGCTTTCATAGAATTGTTGTGTTTTACTTCAATTGAGGAGGACTCCAGGCTGTTGTAAAAGGAGGAGTCTCCAGGAGGAGCTGTCTGAAACGCAAGGTTCCTGCTGTTGTAGGAAGCCCCACTCTGCTAATTCAGTTCAAGTGTTTGAAGGGATCCAGGATTAAAAGGTGTCTCTCCAAGACTCACTTCAACTGGAGGACTACACAGAAAGGCGGAAAGAGGAAACACTGGAGGAGACATCCTTTGCTGTCCAGTTACTAGTGGACAAAAGGTGATCCTGAGGCAGAGAAAGCACATTTAGAATAATTTCCCCCACACTGTGCTTGCAAAAGTCTGAATGCCAGTGGCAGCAGAGGGGGAAAGCACACTCACCTCCTATAGGTGGTCCCAGCAGTATCGTGCAGCACTCGGCGATGGTGACGAGCCCGACGGCGCTCGTGAAGCGGGCAGCTCCCACCAGGTCCATCAGCGTCTCGAAGAGCATGGCACACACCATGCCAAAGGCCAAGCCAAAGAAGCTGGAGTACACAATGAGCCCTGTGTAGCTGGAGGCCAGTGGGCACAGGAGGTGGCAGGCGCCGTTGAAAGCAATGGCGAAGCTGAAGAAGTACTGGATCCTTGGCCTCACCCACTTGCTGTTGGCAACAATGCCGGTGGTGGGGCGAGCAACCATGTCCACAATAGCAAGGATGGAAAGCAGGAAAGCAGCTGAATATTCATCAATGCCCGTGTGCTTTGCATAAGGTGCCAGGAAAACGATGGGGGCAAAGAAGCCCAGGAACATGAGCACGTTTCCAATCAGGTAAATCAAGAACCCTCTGTGTTTAAAGAGGGAAAAATCAAGGTACTGATTGATTTTTTCAAAGCAGTCCTTTCCTCCTTCCTCTTCTGCTCTGTTCTCCATGGGTCCATCCTCAGGGATCTTTCCTTTCAGAGCTTCCTTCGCTTCCTCAGTCACCTGGGTTTTGACCAGTGCTGTGCCTGCCCCGATGGGTCTGAAGAGAGCTCCTGCCACACAGCAGTTTAATAAAATCGCCCCAAGAATTAAAAAGCTGCCCCTCCAGCCAAAACTGTCAAAAAGGAATTGGTTGAGAGGTGCCAGGGTGCAAAGCATCACGGGGCTCCCTGCCATAGCAAGGCCATTGGCAATGGGTCTTCTCTTCAAGAAGTATTTCCCTATGATTATCACAGATGGCTGAAGGTTGAGAGCAAGGCCAAATCCTGGAAAACAGGTCAGATAAACAAAGGAAGATTTGAGACCCATTTCTCCTCAGCTCATTGTTTGAGGAAATTGACAGTCAACTGGTTCACTGGTGGCTCTTCATCGCAATAATCTGGATGCAAACATTGCTCAGGGTGTCTCCGAGTTCTGGCTGCCACATTTGGGTACCCAGAACCCAGAAACACTCTTTCAGTCAGAGAACCCCCTTTCTTTTGCACTGCAAATCTCTTGGGTGGCAAAACTAGCACCAAGAGTTTGCTTCAGAGTGCACCAACCCTATTCCCTCACAGAATGCTGGTGGGTTCTGTCCAGAGGCAGTGGCCTTGCTGAGGGAGAGGATGGATCTGTTTTTAAAAAATGGCAACTCTCAGTTTGAGGAAGGTTGTTTCAGCTTAGACAGTGTCAACCACCAAAGTGTATCCATTCAGGGCTGGCCTCCCTTTCCAAGGGCACCCAACTCTGCTGCCAGGCAGCCAGACCTGCAGAGAAAATCACATCACCCTCCTGAGCCACGACTGATGTGGTGCTGTGAGCAATTCAGGTCTGATGCAAAAGATTAAGAGGTCTGCAAGTACACAGCAAAACATCTACTGAGGATGCTAATTACACAGGACCCTAGAGTGTTTCTTTTAATTAGAATTTATTTTTATTGCATTTAGATATATAAATGCCATTATAAATCTGCTAATTCAGTTGGCCAGCTTTTCCTGCACAGGTGGAATCTGCAGGCAGAAATACCAAATGCTGTGATGGTCTCAGTCTTCTGTGGTTCTGTTTGAGAGCACAGCCATGTAAAACCATGGAATCACAAAATCAATAAGGTTGGAAAAGACCCCCAAGACCATGAAGTCCAACCTTTGACCAATCACCACCTTATGACCTAGACCAGAGCACTGATTGCCACATCCAGCTTTTTCTTGAACAGTTCCAAGGATGGTGAATCCACCACCTCCCCAGGCAGCCCATTCCAATAATCACCTTTTCAGTGAAAAAAAAATCTGCCTGATGTTCAACAATTCTTCCAGATGCCCAACATCAATAATCAATAATTAAACATCAATAATATTTTCAAGCATTTCTTTGACGTGCAGTATTTTCATAAAAAGTTCATTTTTCAGAACTCCATCAAAATGGCATTTAAAAATCATGCCACATATTTTCCACTCCATCATCCAGGAAAGAATGAGCCACATTAGAACAAAGCAGAAATATAATCCTTGAAGTGATTATATCAGAGAACATGAATCCTGAAAATAGGGTCATGCAGATTTTTTCTTGTTCATTAGTCGATATAATTAGTTTGTTTAACTGTGCAGTACATAATTAGGCATATTGCTTTACAGAAGAGAATTTACAAAGGTCAAGGTCCTCAAAATTAATTAAGGAACACTATCATTAGTCACTGATAGAGTAGAATCCAACTGATGCAGCAGAATCCAGCCAATGCTGGATAGCTTCAGTTTAAATGGGTTTGCAAAATTATGATATTTTCCAAGTCTAAAGTTTTGGGCTTTTTTTAATTACTTTGAAGTTTACAACATTAAAAACAAATTGAAATGGCTCCATATTAAAATAAATTTGGATACAAAAACATTCTCAGCATGAACTTTTTTAGATAGTCCATGTCTTAGGCAGGGCACATCTTTGGGAAGTGCAGCCTGCTTGTAATGCATATAGGGCCAAATTCAGTGGTGAGCTGGGAACCACAGAGGAAAACCACAGCCCTGGTTAGAGAACACCCTTGGACAGTGTTGCAATACAGAAATGTATCTTTTTCCACCTGAGAGGATGCAGCACAGCAGGTGAGAGTTTGCATTAATTCCCCATTTCCCAGGCTGGTCATTAAGGGCAGAAATTGAACCATCATTTCCACAGGGTCATTTTTGGTAGGGACACACTACATGTCTTCCAAAGGAGGAAAATCAGACTGGATGCCAGCTACCCACTTAAACAATAATCATCTCTAATTTTTTTTATTATGTGAACATTAATTTACCAGTCAGACAAATCTAATTTAATATTACCTCATGCTCTTCCCATTAATTAAATTTGGAGAGTTTCAAATTGAATAACTGGAATTTCAATTTACTTTAAGCTTTTGGCTGACTTAAGTAGGAAATATTTACATCCATTTTACTGCAGTTTTCAGAAACTACAGCAGCTTTTCCATAGCTGGAATTGTTACTCAATAACCACATTTTCTCCCCAGGGATATGACAGAGAGGTCTGTCAGTGGTGTTGCAAGAGCAGAAGCAAACCTGTGCCAGAGGGAGTGTCCTTTCCTGGATTAAATACATTTCACTCATATTAGAAGGAAATAAGTGATGCTACAGGACTCAGCTGTGTAGTTATTGATCTTGTTCTTACTTTATTGGAAAGGAACAATCAGACCAGGTATTTCAGTGCTCAACATTTACAGCCATGGCAAAGACTCTACTCTCATTAGCCCACATGCCTCACCCAAAATCCCATTTTATTTCATGGCAGTCTAATTGGTGCAGATTGAACTAAACTCTCACCAGTCGTTACTACCTTGCAATTAGCTTTGGAATTTGCTGCTTCTACCTCAGACTTCAGAAGAGGTTGCATGTTGAAACACCTATTCAATGCATCCAGGCTGGCATCTGTCCAGGTGGACAGCTTGCAAACCCCATTTCTTTTTCAAAGAGCTGCAGGGAAACAAATGGGAAGGGGCTGTGGGGTTTCCAGTGCATGCAAAGTGTCATCAAGGACAGAGCAGCCTCCACCAGCAGAGCCTGGCTCCTGCTCTGCATGCAAATGGAAACAGGCATAATCAAGTCAGCAACTGAGATTGCCGTGTCTAATCCCTCCACTGCAAACAGATACTTCCTGCTCTGCTCCTCTGAAGAGATTTCTATTAATATGCCAAAGGCACAGAACTGTAGCAGAGACCTCCTCGTACCAAGACCTTGTTTTTACCTCCATCCCTGTGATTTACATGAGCACAGGCTTTTACATCGGTCTGTTTTCTTTCCAGGCTAGTAGGAAGGAGGCTAGGAAAGTGTGATGTTTACAGGTTGCTCTACAGTTACTGCAAATCCCCTTTACAAAAGCCTCTCTCCTCGTGCAGCAGCGCTGTCGCAGCCGCGTGACGGGCAGGCGGCTTCATAATTGCCCTTGAATGCTTCCATGTTAGGCCTGACCAGCAAAAATACTTCAAGCTTAATTAGAGGCATCCAGCATGTTAACAGGCTTACAAGCATCTTCCCTTCTCTGTCAAATTAATATTCCTTCCCCAGCACACACCCTGTGCCTGGAGATGATGGGTTATCAGCCAACACCTCACCCACACGGCTGCCCTTGTTCAGCAAGCAGCAGGGAAAGATGCACACAAAAGATGAGCTCTGCTCAGAGGAAACAGCACTGCAGACAAAGAGATGTGGGTGTTTTAGCCCTGTACCTCGGGGCTGGCACGAGGGTCACCTGTGAGCACTGCCCACACTGACAGCTCTCTGTGCTGGTGATGGACCAGACTTGCAGACACATTCAGGGACCAAGCAAGAGCTTTATCAATCCCAGGTCCACTGGGGTTATGCACAGAATTCCCTCCTGTCACCTTTTAGCTTTAGAACATCTAAAAACATCTAAAATACCTAGGTGCCTTCCTACAGTCCTGTTTCTTGTCTGAGTCCTTCTGCTCACTAAAATGCATGTAATATTTTTAGCAAAGGATTTATGGTTTCCATATGCTAATCCATCATTAGTCAACTTAGAATCACAGAATGGTTTAGGTTGGAAGGGACTTTGAAACCCATTCCAGCTCCCTTGCCATGGGCACAGACACCTTCCACTATCCCAGGCTGCTCCAAGCCCATCCAGCCTGGCCTTGGACACTTCCAGGGATGGGGCAGCCACAGCTTCTCTGTGCCAGGGCCTCCCAACCCTCACAATAATGAATTCCTTCCTTATATCTAATCTAAACTGCCCTCTGTCAGTTGAAAGTCATTCCCCCTTGTCCTGTCACTTTCCCCCTTTGCCTTCCTAGAGGAAATTTGTTTAGCAGGAAGCTCTGCAAACTTATGCATTAAGAAATATGGGAGACGTTGGTTATTTTTATTTCCCATCACTTTGTTCCTGGAGTCTGTTTCAAGGAATCTGCAAGGTTTATTCATCCAAGAATAACACAGTTTCATTTAATTACAGTGACAGTCCTTAGGAAAAGTAAGGTTTAAAAGAGGGAATCCTACACAGGGATTTATTCACTACTGTACAGAGTTAATAAAGTAATATTGATACAGAAGAACAGGGTGAAAAACTTTCTGTCCAAATTTACTTTCCTAGTGGCTGGTTTTATTGATTTTAAATGTTGAGCTCACATTTTCACATTCAGAAAGCAGCAACACTTAATGCATCTGCAGAGAGATTGGGAACATTCATTAAATCATACACCTGGCAACCTCAAAAGCCAATTTTGAACTCATTGTGTCATGTTTTCAAGCAGATGTCCTAGCTGCACTGGAATAAACTTTGACTGTACCTAATCCAAAATAATAAAACAAAAATACTTACAATTAAGCATCTATACTCACACAGGTGTAGAGCTCTAATCCATCTACCTTTAAAAGCAATAACCTGGCACCTGCAGGCCTTAAAGATGCTGGACTGAGCCTATGCATTATTCTGCTAGAGTTTCCAATATGGAATTTCATATTTCAATACAGGCAGTTCAAACTGGAACTTCAAGAAGGAAACACAGGTTGTTTTGGTTTTTTTCCACAGTAAGGAGATTGTTGCCATTTTCAGTTAATTCCAGCAGTTCTTATTTTCAGATAAAGGACTTCCTCACATCACAAGTAAACTGAAGCAAACCCCTGAAATCTCATCTCGTGTATTTCACAGAGGGAAGATAACACACAGTAAAATAGGAACAAGGGTGCTTTCTTTATAGTCACACTTGTACCCAGAAGGACTTGCCATGCCCAGGGCAGAGCACAATCAACCTGGGTTTGCTTCAGGGGGAGCTGAGGGCACTGATGGCCATTCCCAGCACCTGGCCCAGAGCACGGAGCTGCAGAGAGCACAGCCCTGCCTGGATCCCACTGCAGAGAGCACAGCCCTGCCTGGATCCCACTGCAGAGAGCACAGCCCTGCCTGGATCCCACTGCAGAGAGCACAGCCCTGCCTGGATCCCAGTGCAGAGAGCACAGCCCTGCCTGGATCCCAGTGCAGAGAGCACAGCCCTGCCTGGATCCCACTGCAGAGAGCACAGCCCTGCCTGGATCCCACTCGCCGTGTCCAACCGCGCTGGGCACGGAACGCTCACTCTGCTAAAGAGCTCTTTGCTAAAGTTCACCTGCAGCATTGATAAGGAGGGCCTTTGTCCCACCAGATTTTTATCTCACCTGGTTTTTATCTCACCAGTTTCCCATTGTGTTTGTGCTGGTGCACACACTGCCCAGGTGTGGAAGCCCCAAGCCGTCAGAAGGGAGCCTCTCACGTGGAGGGGAAGGAGATGCTTTGTTCTCACCTGTGATGAAACCCACACAGATGTAGAGCTGCAGGATGCTGGTGCAGAAGGCAGCTGAGATCATCCCCACACCACACAGGAGCCCCCCAAACATGACCACGGGGCGGCTGCCATAGCGGTTCACCAGAATGCTGCTGATGGGACCTGGGGAAAGAGGGCAAAAGGGACCCTGAGGTCACATCTTTCAACAGAAGGCATGTTTGACGCAAAACAGGTAAAGCTCTGCAATATCAATGGCCCTGAGTGCTGCTGACAGCTCCTAGGGTGAGTTCAGGGAGAAAATGGAAAAGCAGAGATCTTCCATGTGGAGATGGCAGAATGTCCAATGCCATGGGTGTGTAGTCAGTGACAGCTCCTGCTCCCAGGACTTACAAGTGTCACCAGAGAAGGCAAACAGCAACAACAAATCGTGTGAACACAGGATCCCAGCTGGATCAGGAGCTTCCTGATTTATCATGATGTTAAACTATACACACAAAGTGGTGGCTCATATTGCGAGGCTGATATCACAAACGCTGTTGCATTTTTAATTCCTCTATTTAATGCAATTCCAATACTGCTGACCAGGACCAAAGCTTCAGCAGAACACTGTTAATTAAATCTTAATAGCAGCCCATGCAGGTAGAAAAGATTTGGGATGATGGATTAGCTAGAGCTCAAAAGAACCAGTTTGGACTTGCATTTATGCAAAGAGGAGGTTCAGGGCAGTGCAAAATTATGAAAGAGGGAAATGGCTTGACAAAAACTGTGCACACTAAAACGAAGCATTGAAATCTGAGGAAGCAAGACCAGTAAAAATCAGAGTCACGGTATGATATATATTGGAAGGACTTTGATGGTACCTCAGGACCAACCTGCTCAAAGAAAAGCCAGCTCTGAAGTTAGAACAGACTGAGAAGTCAGAGCTAGAGAAGGCAAGCTGAAGGGGAAAGAGCAGTCCAGAAGTCCAAGTCATGAGACGTAAAGAAAAGATTCTGTATTACTCAAAAATCCTAAATCAAAATTCTTCAAAAGTCATACTGGAAATGAAGAAAGGGAATACAGGCAGATTTAATATCTGAACTTACCTGGCTATTTGTGGTGCTACTCATCATACAGTCGTGGTGTTTCAGAGCCCAGTGTTCTTGTTTGCCTTCATTCCTGCCACTTCTCCCACCACCCACACATACAATACTGCAAACAGGTATTTTAAACTCACAGACATCTCTGAAGAGTTTGGCTGTGGGACCTACCTCACCACACAGCCATGGCAGAATATTTACCTTTGGAGATAGCCAGAAATAGCTCCAGAGCTCCAGAGCTCTCTCCAGACCCTGAAAACCACAGCACTCCTGATCACAGGAATGAAACCCAGAAACCACAACACTCCCTCAGCGTGGCTGACAGCATCCAAACGAGTTCTCAGTTGTTATAATGTGCAAGAATAGAAAACAGTAGGTATGGCTGGTTTCATCTGGGCAATGAAGCCCATAGAAATACTTTCCACCAGATGTGTGAAGTCAAAATACTCATAAATGAAATGCACACAAGCACAGTCTCAACAACATCCCTGTAACTGTGATCTGGTCCCATCAAATGCACCATTCAATTAGAATTTCTCTGTGTGTATAATTACATGGAGAGTTTTTCTGCTAATCCTGTAACTGGATTCACACACATGCATCCTTTTCCTGAAAGGAGCACTAGAGAATTCAGTGAGAAGTTCTGTGGAAAGGGATACATATTTCAGATTAGTGAGAAAGAGACTCCCTCCTGTCTGAGTTTCCCCTGGTTGGGGCCTGCACTTGCACCATGCTTGAGCTGGTCTCAGCACATCCTGTAATTCAATAGATCAAGCCAGTGTTCTCAGAAAGGCACCAACATATTCATCTGCAGCCTAAGGGCATCCAATTCTTCCATTTTTCAATTTTCCACATGTCCGCATTTCTGCAGAATCAATCTAATTACTCAGCTAAGAAAATGTGGTTTCAATTACCTTCACCCACTGGCAGAGGGCTTCCACCCTATAGGATGCTGGGCCATGGAGCAAAGCATTTCAAGCCCACAATATTCCTAAGGCTCCTCTCCTGCTCTGACCTGGGACAGCCACCATGGAGAGAAGCCCCTGACGTGAGAGGAAAACCAGGACTGCTCACATATGTCCCACTCTCTCAGCATCCAGCTTAGGAGGAAGGAAATGAGGATTATTGTATTGGCTTCACCCATCAGGAAGGATGGGTTTGGACCATGACAGCAGATAATGAACTGGAAGGGACTGAGAGTAGGAAACATTCACCCAGCTATCAGGACAGCCCAGGGAAGAGGCTGAAGCAGAGGGAAATAAATGTTTGTATCCCAACTACTGGCTTTACAAATGAGAGCAGCCTTTGTGTGTCCCTGGGGACACTCCATGTGTGCTGTGTCCTCAGCCACATCCCAGCTCCACAGCAAGCACTTATTAAGCCAGGAGAATGAAACTTTTCACCTTTCTTGTTGTGTGTGATCTCTCAGCAATGTTTTACAGGAGGTCTGTGTGACCTTCAGCAAACAGCCTTCATCTGCTGCAACCAGAACTATCAGTTTTACAACAGGAAAATCAGACCCATGTTTGCCAGCCTGGATGGGAGAGCTGTGCTCTCAAGGGCATCACCTGCCTGGGCTGGGCTGAGCTCACAGGGAACTGTGACAAAATTCAGAAGCACAGAAGCCTTTCTCCTTCACAGCCTGAAAGAGTCCAGACCCAGCAGGAAAACCTTGACTTTCATGAGACACCAAAAAATCCAACCCAGAGCCTCAAATAGTTGGGAAACCAAATTTCCTTGAGTTGCTGCTCAAAGGCTGAAGGGTTTGTCACAGTCCTGAGCAGACCTTTCAAAGGCATTGAAGCAAATGCAAAATCACATCCCCAAAATTACTTCCACTTAAGTCATTTGTACCTACAGAAACATCCACAGGCTTTAGCTGAGCAGCCTTTCAAAATCTGTCCCATCTCTGTGCAGAAAGTGGCACATGCAATCTGTCACATTTGGGATCTGGGCACTCTTCAGCTGCCAGCCCTGCCAGCCTGGGCAGGTGACAGAGCACACACAGACCCCTCACCCTGCCCAGGTGTCCACAGCAATCAGCATCACACCCAGCAGCTCTGAGTGCACCCTCCTGCCCTGCTCTGCCCCATGCCACCTGCAGGGTATTCCTTGAGGGGAAAAAGTTCATTAAACATCAAACATTAGATAAGTTTACCAGCAGCATTGTGGGGTAGCTTCAGAAAACATTAAATAGCTCAAGTTGGGGAGGAGGACTGGAGAAGAGGGAACACAAAGCCAGCACTGCAGTTGTGGGAAATGAGAAACACAATTACTGCTATGCTTGCAGCTATTGCACAAATTAAAAGCGTGACAGGCCCTGGCAGCACGGTGGAATTGAAAAGCAGGACCTGTCATTTACCAGTTACTCAGCTGGCATGGAAAGAATAAAGATACTGTATATTACCACAGAGAAAGCATTTACGGTAACAGTGTGTGCAGCTTGGATCCCAAGACCCCTTTAGCTGCTAAAACCTGCCTGGTGAAACGAGCAGGAACCACAGGCTCCCTGTCCTGGCATCCAAATGAAGCCATTGCTCCCTCCTGCAAGGAGAAGCTAAGAGGAGTCAGGGTGATTTTTGCTTCTTAATTTACAGCATCAGGTGAGAAGAGGGCAAGGGAAACAGCTGGCAAACCTCTCAGAAAGCTGCCATTTACCCAGCTTGACCTTGCAGGAGCAGCCACACAAACGCTGTGCAAGTCCCTGAAAAGTCAGGGCGAGGAGCAAAAGCCATCCCAGCTGCTGAGAATGTCCCTGAGGCTGCTCAGGGAGCAGGGCAATCAGGGCTGTCCCCACCACCAGCACAGCACTGCAACTCCTCATGATGAAATTAGAAGCATCATTTAATTAACCCCTTGCACCCCAGTTCATTCCAGTGACAAGAATGCTGACATTAGGGTGGTGTTTCGGTGCAGGAAGGGATGGCATTCCCTCCCAACCACCCAGCCACATGGCAGCCCCTTCCATGACCCAGTGACTTCCTCCCTTCCAATGAACTTCCAGCCATGGCCATCTTTTGTCATCCACTGCAGGGGGAGAGCACAGGACAGCAGAGGACACGGTGGGGATGCTGTGCCTCCTCTGGCTCACAGGGACACTCTCCATCGTCTCCATCAGCCCATGGTAAGAGCAAGGAATGCCTGCTCAGAAGCACTGCACTTTACACCCCAAACACTTGCAGAGCTTGGTTGAGGCTTCCACTTCTGCCTGCAGTAAAACTCTGCAGCCTGGAGAGCAACAATTTGCACCAAATATCCCCAAAAGATGCAGCTGGGATCATGGAGCCCCTGGATGACTGATGAAATATATTAGCCCATATAAATCATTCTGGTTTAGTGCCTGTCCTGTTTAAAGCCTCTCTTTTCTCATACCTGTGGCAGGTTTCCATTCTTTGTTAGCTGGTACATGAAAGGCCGTGTCAAAGAGGCTGCTCTTGGTGGCAAGAGAAACACAGAGACTCACCAGTGGGGAATGCAGCAAGCCTGAATTCATTTGTTAGCTTGTCCAATTACTTTTCACCTTGAGTTTTGTGTTTGCAGAAGTGAAAAGGACCCTGAAGAGGAGACTGTAAAACCATAAAGAAAAAGCAAAATACCCTGGACTCTCCTCTCTTCTCCTCCACAAAGCCAGGCCACCTTGTCATTCATTCTTTTTGAGTCACTGAACTATGATCCAGAGAGGATCATAATGCAGAGCTGGCATATAACAAGAAATATCAATCCAGACTGGCTTAAACTCTTGCAAGTATGACAGTGCTCAAAAACTAGACACCTGAATTGCCTTCCTGTTTTCCTCAGCAAGCCTTATGAATTTTTTATGAGCTGCAATACTTCCAGTGCCGGTGTGAAACACTGATGTATTTCTATTAGGGACTAAAACATTCTTCTCTCCCATACCTCTGACCCTGTGTGTATATATATCCCTTATTTGTAAGGTTTGGTTTGTCATTTTTATTTTTTTTTAACTTAACCTGGTACTAATAGTAACAGTGTTCCTCCTTTCTGGAGGAACTTGTGCTGGATGAATTTCTGCTGCAATATTTCTCTGCAGGGCTTTCAGATAAGCAGCTAAGAGCTGAGGCC